ACTATTTTCTCATAACAAGCATACTTCTACAGTATGTGGCTCTAACATCACTAGGTACAAATGTCCTGTGAAATCATTGCATTATCAAATTCCTAAGTGCTTTTTGAATTTACAGTTTTTAAAAGTTGCAAAAGTCTATGGCAAAAGAACTGAATATCTTTGTTACAACATGGAAATCTAAAAGAGTAAAAACCCTCAAATTTTCAAGATGGAAATGTAAAATGAAAGTCAAGTCTAAATTTAGGGTGGGAATCAGATTTACACACCAAATCTTTAGTGAAAAATAGGAAAAAAATGTGAATTTGTTTCTAGGGAGAAGTGAATGAGATACCTGGATAGATTTTGTAAAGTGAGAGCAGGGTAGACAGATATTCTGTCATTATTTAGTATTGATTGGGCCCAGCACTGTAGTTGGTGAGAATGTGAGTGGACTTGGTATTACACTATGAAACACTATAGAAATTGGTATATATTTCTGGCAAAGAATCATAAAATTGAGTGCCTGGATTTGAACATTGTATGACCCGATATAAACAAAGATACAGAGTTAGAAGAGATGTCCGAAGTCAGAATCCAGATAAATAGTGTGACCTGATGGTTATGGGAAACAGTGTCAGAATACAGTGTGGACCAATCACACATTCTAAATTACCCAGGAGAGTATACATGAGCACCTGAGGTTAACTAAGTTTTCATAACAAACTTAAGTGCTAATTAAGAAGAAATAGTCATGCAAAAATGTCCATGTACTAAGAAAAGTTGAGCATCAGACTTTGCAATGTATGCTCAAGAACCTTGGAAGAGAGTTATGTAAAATGGATCAGGGGGCTTGGCATCTGTCCATTAGGTGAAGCATGGTCATGCCATTTTGAAAACTGACCCAGAGGATTCCCCCAGTATGTTCCCTCTGCCTGGACCAAGCAAGAATTTATGTGCACACTTAAGTTCCTCCAAATGCAGCATAGATGAGGAAGGCAGAACTTCAGGTCATCTGTAAATGTTAACTACTCTTTTGGAGTTTATGTCACTTGCATTTTCTTTAATTCATGTATCTTCAGTGTCATCCAAATCTGATACTTTAGGGGCTGGGAAGATGACTTTGTGGATAAGAGTACTTTCTTCTTCTCCAGAGGTCCTGTGTTCAATCCTCAGCAAGATCATGTTGACTCATAACCATCTACAGTGTGATCTGATGCCCTCTTCTATCATGTAGGTGTACATGCAGATAGAATACTCATATGCATTTAATTAATTAATTAATTAATTAAAAGTGGGATACTTTAGAAATTAAAGAGACAGAACTATTCTCAGTCCCACCACACACCCTGCAAATGTGAGAAAGGATATGCATAACATACCTGTTTTTCATGGAAAGCTAGAATCCTAGTAGTTCATAGGTTTGAATTCCTCAGGTGTTCCAGTTCACAAGAAAGCAACACATATAATTCTCTATCTGATATGTGTCTATCTGGAATTCATGTTGTTCCAGTAGATATTTTTCACAATATTTATAGAACTTAAAAAAGACATGTTTTAGATGGGATTTATCATAGTCTGTTTAAGAAATGTAAAATTAGACTCCTGCTGAAAGCGAACTCACATTAAACTACTAGGGGATAGATTGTTTGGATTTTAACTTACTTTTAGATGATTGAGTTTGGTATAAGTACTCAGTTCAAAACAGATGGGAAGATTCAAGCTGTTTAAAATTTTAAGTAAACTGCTTTTTTCAGATTTTGCATATACTCAATTAATCATGCTAGTTAATTATATTTATTAATATGATAAAATGCTGTGAATTAGCTTTTATCATAGTAATTTAATACATATTTCCATACAGAAATCACATGATTGTTGAATAGATCAGAGATTATGTTAGTAAAAGAGAGGAGGAATCTTATGTAGTTAGATATTAGAAATTTTCTACACTTTCATTTTCGTTTTTTCTTTTTTTAAATTGGTTATTTCAAATGTCATTTCCTTAACCAGTTTCCCCTCCACAAAACTTCCCCTCCCGTCATATATGAGGGAGTTTCCTCACCTGCCCACACACTTTCCCCTCAGCACCTCAGCATTCCCCTACTCTGGGTCAACATGCCACCACAGAACCAAGGGACTCTACCCCATTGATGCCAGTAAAGGCAGCCGTCTTTTACATATTCAGCTGGAACCATGGGTACCCATATGTGTACTCTTTGGTTGATGTTATAGGCTCTGGGAGCTTTGGGGGTTCTGGTTGGTTGATATTGTTTTTTTTCTATGGGGTTGCCAAATTCTTCAGTTCCTTTAGTCCTTGTCTGAACTTCTCTATTGAGGTTCCCCCACTCAGTCTGAAGTTTGGCTTTACACATCCTCTTCTGTTCTGGTTAGACTCTGGTAGTGCTTCTTGAGGACAGCTGTACCAGGCTCCTGTCCACAAAGCACTTCTTGACATCAGCAATAGTGTCAGGGTTTGGTGTCTGAATATGGGATGGATCCCTAGGTGGTGCAGAGTAGGAACATAGCAGCATCCAGGCAGTCACAGTGCAAGAGTAGCTGAGAGTTCTACACTTTCATCTGAAGGCTGCTAGTGGATGACTGATTTCCAGGTAGCTGGGGTGCATGCATTAAAGGCCATACCCACTGTGACACATCCATTCCAGCAAGGCCACTCCTCCAATAGTACCATTCCGTGTTCCAAGTATATTCAAACCATGACACCTGGATATGGTCTTTACAGGTTCACTTTCTCCTTTATTGGGTATTTCAGCTAATCTCCTTGCTGTTGGGTCCTGGATACCTCCTGGATTTTCGGCATCTAGAACTTTCTAGTGAGTATAACCAATTCCCCTTCCCCCACTGCTACATACCTCTATCAAAATTCCTAATGCTCCCTACTTCTTCAAGATCTCCTGTATGTGAACTAGTCCCTCTTTTCCTTCCTCTCTTCTCTCCCTCCACAAAATTATTTTTTCCTCCTTCTGAGTAGAACTGTAGCATCCACACTTTGGTGTGGTTTTCCTTCTCCTTAGGTTTCATATGATCTCTGAGTTGCCCACTTTCAATTTCTTGATAAATCAAAATGGTTTGTGGTAGATCACTGGCGATTGCATCTTAGTTTGTTGACACTGAAAAAAGCCAGTCTCGGAGGATGAACAGTTAACTAAATTCTCATTATGTACATGGTAAATCTGCCTCCAGTGATGGTGGCATCATAATCTATGCATTTAAATCCAGCACAGACTTTCTTACATGGGTATAAATGGGGAACTTTTAGAATGGGAGGTTTAAAAGACTGAGGTTCAGCCTATGCTATTGGATCACTATTGAGATAATGAGGAAGACACTTCTCTCCTGGGCCATGCTGTTGAGGATTGGGTAAAATTGGTAATAGAATATTTCTGGTGAGAGGATTAAAAAATGTAAGTCCTCAGTATTAATGTGTGTTGAACTAGGTCAGGTACTATATAGGTACTGTGAGAACCAAAGAGATGAGTTCCTCAAAGGTATGCCAGGTGCTGCAGTGCCTGCTCTGCTGAGCTTGTATCTTACTGTTACTGTCTACAGTCAAAGAGGACCAGAAAATGATACTATAGCAGAATAAGGTCTCTGTCCAAGTGTTTTCCACTTAGGGAAGGTTGCAGTTGTCATGCAAATAGAAATGAAAATGCCCTTTGTATATAGGTTATTATTAAATTGTTTTTAAACTATTTCCCCATTTGTATAACGTATTATCACTAACCCTGACAAAGTATACATGAAGATAAATATCCAACCATTGTGACATCATTTCAAACACTTCCACAGAATATTAGCTTTGTTACGTGGGCACAATTCCTTGCCCCTGTGGACAATCAGGGAGTTGTTCATTCATGAGCTGTCAGAGACAAGCTGGAAAAGGTACTTAAAAGCTGCCACTCCTTGCTTCTTCCCATGCCTTTCTCCATTCAAGGCACATATATGAGGAGTGAACGCTGATATCTGGACATGCCTGTCATCCAGGAAGCATGAGCAGTCCCAGAGTCAAATCTGCCTGCCTTGCAAAAACCTCACAATATCTGTGTAGCAGAAAATGTCCCCCTCCCTTTTAAAATAAGTAATTGACAGGGATTTGTCTTTCTGGAACACTCTTTACATCCTTAGTTTCCTCTCATTCTTAACAGCTATCCTAACAGTTGTACAAAATGCTTGTCTCAGTGGACTGATTAAAACACATATTACTTCTACTATCTCTCAGTATCAATACTTTGCGTAAGAGGCCTAACTTTCTTGAGACTTTAATTTCTATTTAAAGAGAATTTTGTTATCTTCTATAAGGGTTGTGTCCCTCATGTTTGGTACCAGCTGTGGAGGTCAATGCAAGTACCATGGCTGGAAGAGAAACCAAATATGTAGGGCAAGAAAGAAAGTGGGGCAAGAATTACATAGATGACAGCATTTCACAGGTCTAAAGTCTGACATCAGGGCAGTATATTTTAGACACATTTAAGTACAGTATAACATTTGAAAACAAAAACTTTTAATTCAGCTTTATTTGCACAGTAAACCTAAGACATGACTACACTGAAACTCTTTTGCCATGTACATGTGACTTCTCCTATACATGTGGATTCAATTGAGAAAGGTAACTAATGATGAAGGCCTGTGACAGAAAATTCTGGAGAATCTGGGTGAGCAATTATATATAGAAACTGTCATCAGTTTACTAACAACATCCATTCTCAGTATTCTAGGTGAAAAGAAAGTATATATTTTTTCGATTGAGGAGATAGACCTATGTGATTAATATTCCTAGTTTCTCCAGTGCTTATCTGTGAGCAGTAGTGCCCACTGAAACTAGAAGAGGATGTGGTATTTTTGCAATCATAAGAAGCTGTAAGGGTACTTCCCTCTATCTGTATTGCAACACCAACCCAGGCCTTTGCATATTGTTCCCCGAGGAGGAACTGCCCATGCCAGTTTTGGATAAAAGGGTCAGTTATCTTCTTTCTGTGACTGAAAAGTCTTCTCAGGATTCCTTCTCAAAATGAAGTTGCCTGGTAGACTGTTGGTGCTGTTGTTCTGGATTCCTGGTGAGAATAGAATGAACTGAGAGTGTGGAGGTAGCACAAGAACTTGGTCATACTGCTCATTACATGTGTTGTGCCTTGTATGAGTAGACAGGTATTATCCTCCAGTATGTGGCCTGTTGAGTTTCCAGATGGGAGAGAATCTGTGCTACAATGAATATTATGCCATGGATATATGGGATAGTCTACATTAAGTATAGAAGCACCTTGGGGACTCTATTTAACTTGTTTTGTTAAGATGGGAATGTTAATATATAAAGAATTGCATGCACAAACACATCTAAGTTGAAATGTATTTAAAAAATCATAAGACTGTTCATGAAGTTTGTGCATAATTCTGTACTTTTATTTTATTTTCTTCAGCTTCCAGCAGTGATGTTGTGATGACCCAAACTCCAGTTTTGCTGCCTGTCAGCCTTGGAGATCAAGCCTCTATCTCTTGCAGGTCTAGTCAGAGCCTTGTACATAATAATGGAAATACCTATTTGCATTGGTACCTGCAGAAGCCAGGCCAGTCTCCTCAGCTCCTGATCTACAAGGTTTCCAACAGATATTCTGGGGTCCCAGACAGGTTCAGTGGCAGTGGGTCAGGGACAGATTTCTCACTCAAGATCAGCAGAGTGGAACCTGAGGATTTGGGAGTTTATTACTGCTTCCAAAGTACATATTTACCTCCCACATTGATGCAGACCCTAAGAAAAATGTCCTTGCTTGGAGTATCACAGCTGTCAAATAAGTTAGTTATCTGTGTGAGAGGGAAGTGTTTTGGGACTGCAGATTATGTGGTGCAGCTGACAGCATGTGCATCTTGGCTACAGCTCACTGATCATTCTTTTTGCCTTCATTGGCTACAATAGCAATGATATTGCTTCTGCTTCAGTAGAATAGTGAACAGATGGCCTGGCAGCAACAAACAATGATGGTTGTAAAACATAGTGTAAACCCATTTTTTTCCTACAAGCCTTGTCTTCTTGTCTTTCTTTGTTACTCAACATTATCCAGTAAAGCAGACAGGAAACTGAGAAGCATTTCTTTGTTAAATTCTCTCACTTACTAATAATTGCTTCATTTGCCACATTTTAAGCATTTGGTTTAAATTCTACTGTGTATGTTTATTATCTTCTGTTTTTTTTTCCATTGCATGAAGTATGTCAATTGACTCTGTATTTTTCAATAATGTTTTTACTTGTAAAGTGTTTTTTTTTTCTGGCCTGCTTTTTCTCAGTGCACTACAGATATAATCATAATCTCTTAGGTTAACTCTATTATTGGGATCACTGCTGCAATTAGTATCCTGCTAAACAGATGGTCATTAGTGCCAAATATGAAGTCCACAATGGAACAAATGTATGATAACCTTCTTCATCTACTGGGAGTTTGAAGGGAACCTTCTTGAACAGTGAAACTTAGCAATCCAGCAGTAAATTTTCAGTTTAATTTCATGACTATTTCTCTATTTTTTTCCATTAAAATGCTTGGTGTCTTTAGCAATAGAGATTTGTGACCTCCTTCTGGAAGTGAATAAAAATATTGACATTGTATTGTTTTGCCTGTATTATATTTATTCATTGTATTGCCTGTATTGTTTTGTGGTTTGGGGGCCTCTGTTATAAGGATAATTCCTATACATGACACTAGGAACCTGTTACCTCTATAGGAGCATTATTCACCCTAGAATTATAAAATAAGTTTTCTGTAGTGTTTGTAGTTACACACTCTTAGGTTTATTTACTCTTCAACACCCTTTCCTTTCCTATTCACTACCATATCCATGTGTAAACTTTTCAGCCTCTAGCATGCTCACTCTCTACTTTCAAAACACACACATTCTACATTTAGGATTTAAAAATCAAAAACAACAACCAAAGCAGGAGAAGAGTCCATACAAAGCATGATATTTACTTGAATTAGGCAGCAAAACCTGATCTATCAGGACAGGATGGGAGCATAGACTCAGGAGCTGACTGTGTCCCCAAGCATTCCTCTTAGTAATTCTGTAAACAACAACAACAACAAACCCAAAAACATCTGTGTCAAGATTTTCCTAAAATTTTTCATCATTCAGAATCATTTTTTTTCATGGTAAGGAATAGTCATTATGTTTTGGCAAATAAACAAATTAAATAAATAAGGAGGAAGTTGGTCAATCACATTAGATAGTTCCCAGCTACCCTAGGGCCAATAAATTTGAATTTTATTTCACCTTATAAACAAAGAGGAGTCTGAAAACCAAGTACTTTAAGCCTCATTTGACGCCTACACCACTGTCTCTTCCTCTCCTTAAGTTCTATTCTTAATTTCTCTCTCATCATATTTTTTTAACTTCCAAACTTTACAGACTCCAGAGAAATCATTCAAATGTAACCATTAGGATCCACTTGTGAGAGTGAATACATGACATTGCTCTTTGTCACTCAGTATATATTTTCTGATAGTTCCACACATTTTTGAGCAAATTTCCTCATTTTAACCTTTTTTTAGGTAAATAAAATTCCATTTGGATGTGTCTCACTTTTTCACTAGCCATGCTTCATTTGATGGATGTCTAGGCTGATTGCATTTCCTAGATTTTGTGAATATACATTTATAGATACAGATATATTTATTTATTTGGTAGGTGTATTGTTGACTATATATGCTGTTATAAGCATATGTACATGTCTAAAAGTACATGTTCTATAGAAATATATAAATATGTTGCTCTAGTGGAGGATATGATTATAAAATATTCTTTCCTAGAAACAACTGCATAAACAGCACTTGGATTTTTTTCATGTGTGTGTGTGCATATATATACACACACATATATGTATATATATGTATATATATGTGTGTTTGTATATATATATATATATATATATATATATATATATGCATGTGTGTGTGTGTATTTATTTATATGTGTGTGACAATTCTGTTTCAATTAATGTAATGTCTTCTTTCATTTAAAGTGTCACAATTCACTTTGTAATTAATGCTGATAAATAGTTTATCTTATATTCAAATAATATATTCTTTTTGTATTCCTCTGTTGAAGGACACCTGGATTATTTATGTATTTTTAACTCTTGACATAATTTTTGCCATTAAACTTAAGATGGATAATTGAGACATTGATTTATGTTTGAATTCTACAACAAAATATAAACCTGGTAAATGTGTGAATTCTCTTCACTTCAGTCGACAGACCTTAGAAGAGCTTCATTGGCTATGGTCAATGCTATAACTACTCTTTAAAACTGTTGTGTCCCAGTAAATCGTGACAAGTCTGCATTCCCAGTTTGGCAAATTAGACATTACCAATATTGGCATATTGGTAGGTGTCACACATATGTCTAGCAAGACCTCATGATCTGGAAACCATATTTGAGTTGTGAAGTATTCTTTATTTGTGGTTGCAGATGATGACATACATTTTTTTCTAGAATATTAATGTTTTGTGATGTGATTCTGCATTAAAGATTTTTTACAGAGTTCTGATATTTTCCAAATTTAAAAGATATGTTTAAGCATGTCTTATGGCACACGGGGCAGCGTTAACGCTTTTGAATCACTATCACAATGATATGTCTTCTTCTTATTCAGGCTGACTAATAGTATTGCTCTTCATGACAGATCAATTGATAACATAGATGAGGGACAGCATGTATTGTTTGAACATTTCAGAAATTCTTACCCATCATCTGCTTCATTCTCAGTGGCAAGACATGCAAATGCAAACCTCGGTTTTTATCTTAAAGGTGATAAGCATTTTGATGTTTAGTTCTCTAAAAATCTTCTCAAGTGGAGAGACTGATAAATGGTTGTAACACTTTCATTTTATACATCATAGATGCAACATACTAGAGTTTCTGATTTCATATATCCAATTAATTTGTCTTGAAAAAGAAATTTTAAGTTAGTATAGAAGAAAGCCTTAATTCATAAATACAAGTAGTTAAGAATACAGGTCAGCAAACTCGCTAGCCCAAGGCTGTCATAAAGGATGCAGAGCTGGAGAAACAAAGGTCAATTGAGTGTTCCAGGAATCAGCCAGCTGTAAGAGATAGGGAAGATGCTCAAGGATAAATTCTGTGAGAACGAGAACAATAATGAAACACCCATCTGTTCCCATGATGTTTGACTTAGCCTCTTCTAGAAAAACTCCCACCAAAGGTCCCAAGAACTTGAAAATTAAATTCAGTCAGATGGTCTGTTGGCTCAGATAAGCATCCAACCTAGGTCCCAAGGTCACAGGGATCAGGGACTGTTCCCGTTAGATTAGTCAAACCCTTGCCAGGGATCTGCTGGAACAAACTGCAAATGTTTGAAACAACCAATTGTGTGTGGCTGCGCCATATTCTCCTGCTCCCCTGGACTTTGCCTATATTAACCCTAAGCTTTTAGGCCTCGGGGTCGTTTCTTCTACCTCCTGCGTAAGGCACATATCAGCCCGGAGCTCCGATAATAAACCTGCCTTATGTGATTACAGCAAGAAGGTCTCTGGAGTATTTTTGGGTCCATGCCCTCTCAGAGACCCGAGTGAGGGTCTCCCCTTGGGGGTCTTTCATGTCCAAGTTATGATATTACTGTAGTGTTATAAGGACTGATATATCATATTCAATGAAATAAAAACATTTCAGGACTTAGTAAGGCAGTCAATATAGCTTTTGAGTTGAGAACAAACATATGAGATTTTGTTTTTCCACATGAATGCAGCAATGCAAAAGATTGTATTAGATTATGCTTTCCACAGACTTTATCATATTACAAGACAAGCAAGGTGGACAGACTATGTTCAGAATATCAAGGAGCTTGATATGCTGTATCAATATTTAAAAGTATTTGAAATTTCCATCATTTTCACAAGCACCTCTTTCAACTAGTCGTCCTGATGCTTTGAACATTATAATATTATCTGTCTTTCTTTCAGATGATTAATGTATACAAAGAGAATGTAGGTAAATGCTGTCACCACCACAGGGTGTTGGACTTAAACCCCTATGGGCTTAAAGTTAGACTACTGGAAATGAAGTGGTGTTACTTAAATATCTAATACCCTTATTTATCTTGGAAGTCTGAATTATATTAATTGTTACTGTTTAAATGTAAAATTGAGAAAATAACAATATTTTTTCTATCATTCTAAGTGGCTTAGAGATGCTTTTCCTGTACACAGTCATGTATTATGTCTAATTTTAGCCTACCGAGGTGGTGTTGTATTGAACAAGTCTTCAGATATCCTGTCTGTAATGCCAAGGGGAGTCACCATCAACTGCTATTCCAGTGAAGACAGTGCCATCTACAATGATATCAACAGAAACTGAACTTAACTCCATCAAGAATGCTACTTATCCCATCTCTGGAATCCCCTCAAGTTTCTGTACTATTAGGTCAGAGACAGGTTTTTCTCCTCACCATAAACATCCTGAAATCAGAAGATGTTGGAACATATTATTGTCAACAGAGTTACGATTTCCCACTTACGGTAATACAGATAATATTACAAAACCCAACAGGGGAGCAGAAGTGTGAAGTCCATCTGTCCAGCTGCCTTTGGTGACAAACATAGCTGGTTTGGGGCATTTCTCAGATGTAACCAGGCTTGAAGTTTATGGGAACATTTAAGTAAATAACCCCTAATGACATTCTAAGAAAAATATGATGTACTCTGTGCCTACTACCTGATTACCTATATGAGAAAAAGTGGCATGTAAATAGAGGTTCTGCAGCTGTAATGGTATACAAGTGAGGCCTATGTCAGTCCCTGTGTATGCCCAAAAGTCTTTGTTGCTGGTGCTGTAGAGACCTGTTGCACAGTCCTCACTCTACTACTTTATCATAGACAGCACCTAGGCTATAGTTTGCTTTCTTTCACCAAAGCATCATTCTTCACAGAATCCCATGCCCACCCAAAGACACAGATGAATATAGATCCCTTACAGATTGAGAAATAGCAAAGAAACCTGCTAAGGCCATGGATTTTGAGGTACTGTCCCAAAACTGCCTTTCACAGGAAAACAGAGAGCACATCAGGCTGAAAAGATCTATATCCATGTACATAGACAGGACACCAGAGTTCAAAACTTAGGA